CCAAAGAAGACTTCCTCAAGAAATGGGAGAACCCCTCCCAGGTACTGTGCTCCCAACCCAGATCACTCCACACCCTCCCAATCAAGGCCTCTGCAGCCCCAGGCTGATTACTGTGCAGTCACCCCTGGATCTCTTTCCCCAACTCTGAGCCACCTTGACAAACAGCCTCTGCTGAGGGTCTGGCGTTATTTTTGCTCCTGGGGGGCAGGGCTGGGGGGCTCAGTAGGGAGCACTCTCCTGTCACAGTCAACACTGCCCCTGGAGGGGCTGCCTTTCTGGTGAGGTATAAAAACCGAAGCTCTGACCCACTCATGGTCATTAAAGACCCATCCAGTCTTGCAGTGCAAATCCCACTGTCCTGGGCAGGTTCCTTCCTGATGCCCCCAAGACCAGTTTGGCCCCACATCAGGTTTGTTTTTCCCCCCTTCCAGAACACAGCCAGGTTGGATCAATTTGATCGAATCAAGACCTTGGGCACAGGCTCATTTGGGAGGGTCATGCTGGTGAAAGACAAAGAGACCGGGAATCACTATGCCATGAAGATCCTGGATAAACAGAAGGTGAGATGCTGGGGGCTCCCGCGGAGATCTGGCATGAGGCCATGGAATCCCCAGTGCGGGGGAGGGATTTGGAGCTGAACCCTGTGTGGGGATGCAGGAGAGGGGAGTGTGTGGGAGGCGCAGGGGGTGCTGCGCCAGCAGAGGAAGATCTGATGTTGCTATTTCCTTTTCTCTCCCAGGTAGTGAAGCTGAAAGAAATTGAGCACACCCTCAACGAGAAATGCATCCTCCAGGTTGTCAACTTGGAAATCCTCGTCAAGCTAGAGTATTCTTTCAAGGTAGCTGTCCTTTGCTTGCCAGCCCGGCCCTAGGCTGTGTCTCCCCCCCGACTCCCACAATCCCCTCAATTTGTTTCCTATTTAAAACCAAAGCTCTGCTGAAGGGGTCGAAGGGCACAGTCGGCGTCTCTTGTATCCTGAGAACAAACGTTCCTGGCGTGACGTCTGGGATCAGGTTTGGAGCTACGAAAAATCAGTTTGGATGATTCTCCTTTTTCACTCTCTTCTGTTCTGCTTTTGACTCCATATTTTGAACAGTGATACTTCCCCGGCTCTCCCCCAACCTGGACAGTTTTGGTTTCGTTCCTAGTCAGTTTCAGTTTCCGGCTCCCATGCGCTGGCCTTCATGCACAATTGGCTTTGCGGAGACTTTGAAATCATCACGTGGGATCGTTTCCTCCAGATGGAGTTTCTGTGAAAGCTAAAATTCAGGCCCCGGCGATGGGGCTTGGACCCTCTTCTCTGAACCTGGATCTTGGGGCCTGTGAACTACACCCTTTGTGTAGGGGGGAGAGCAAAGATAGTTGTGCCTTCGAGCTCCACAGCTTTCTTGGTGTCTTAAGTTCACATGCGAGGGCCCCCCACAGCCTAGTGGGTCCAGATTCTGCTCTCACACTGGGGTAAATCTGGAGATGCTCGGGAACTGTGGCCAGTGGGAGCTGCGGGGGCGGTGCCTGCAGGTAGAGGCCGTGCGCAGACCCCTTTGCCCCACTCCCCAGTGGCTGCTTCCGGGAGCAGCGTGGGGCCAGAGCAGGCAGGGAGCCTGCCTTAGCCCCGCTGCGCTGCCGACCAGGAGCCGCCTGAGTTAAGCGCCAACCGGCTGGAGCCTGCAGGCATAGGAGAGAGGGGTCTGACTTTGAAAAGCTCCCCCAGAACGGGGTTTCACAGCGTGACCTTGCCGGATGGCTGAGACCCGGGGCAGCTGCAACTCCGGGAGCTGCAATTGTGGAAGAGAAGAAAGGGGGCGCTGAACTGTAGCTAGTCACCAGAAGAGGGCACCATGCTCAGCGTTACAGACCCCAGCCCAATGGG